ACTGTGCATGAAACCATGTTTCAATGACTTCCACAGGCTGCAGAACTTCTAGAAACATGTCCTGTGACTGAATATGTGCCTATAAAATATAGAAAAAAAATAATAAACAACATTTTATATTGTTCATTTGTGCAAACAAAATAGTGACAACAGTGTTTGTGCAGTTATTGTGTAGTATAGAAAGAGAAAAAAATTACAAAATAGTGCTCATATTGGTCTCACAGGCCATAAAAGTCACTTGAAAAAAAAAATTAAAAAATAATAGAAAAAAGTAGAAAAAAATAAATAAACGATTACTGGGCGACCGGCAGTCGGCGATGATGCCACATGCGGTTCACTTTCCGTCAACTTCATGTCTCCATATCTCGGTAAATATTGATGGCAAAACATTTTGTTTTTAGCCTATAATGTTTAGGAAAAAAACTATCTTTTCACAAGAATTTTTTTTTTTTTTTTTTTTAAATTTTTCGACCCTGAATACAAGTCTGGGAGAGGACCTGTCGACCCTGAAAGGGCTAAATGTGCTATTTTACATCGATATAGACATTTTCATTAAACCATCTATGATATTTTCTTCAAAATTATACAGTAGGGCCCCGCTTTACGCCGTTTCGCTTTACGGCGTTCCGCTAATATGGTTATTTCAAATTATGACCAAAACTCGCTATACGGCTCCCCCCACCTGACTTTCTAATATGGTCGCCACACCCAATCCGGTTTGTTTACATTCTCTGTGAGATCCGTAAGCACTAAGTCTGTCTATTTTGTCTGGAAACTCCAAAATTTCAAGTGTTTTTAAAAGTTATTTCATATTTTATATATACTCTGGTAATTATACTTACATATACCTGTCCCTAAATAAGCTTACACACTGTGCAGGTGCACATTAAAATTAGTGTCTTATGTCTCGAGACGTCATATTAGTAATAATAATAATAATCACTGAGGCTCATTTAAATGTCGCATATTACGTTAATATACACATTTTCATTAATCCAACTATGATATTTTTTTTCAAAATTATATAATAAACACGATAATAAACATATAAATATGATAAATACACCCCACAGTAGAATAAACATAAATATGAAATGTGGTAGCAGACAACTTGCACAAGTGATGCCATATTAGAAATGATAATGATAATAATGATAATAATGATAATAATAATAATAATAATAATAATAATAATAATAATAATAATAATAATAATAATAATCACCGAGTCTCATTAAATGTCGGATATTACGTTAATATACACATTTTCATTAATCCATCCATGATATTTTTTTCAAAACTATATAATAAACACGATACGTAACATATAAAGATGATAAATACACCCCACAATAGAATATTCAGGTATACACAAATGCAGTTACATAGATTTTCATACATAACAGCATATGTGTGGAGAACCTAGGATAGCCCAAAAAAGTCAGTGTGACATTTCCATTGCCTTCACTCAGAGCGTCATTTCTTCTCAAAATGATGTTACATAAGAATGGGAGTGTTCTTCTTTGTTTATTCTACCGTATCAATGTAGAGACAACTTGTACACAATGTAACCTGTACACAAACCATACGTGTACACTTTGTTTGTTTACAAAACTTACGTTCGCCTGGTTTGTTTACATAACTCTGCACCTGTCCTCTCTCATGTACTCATTATCTATCTATATCTATCTATCTATCTATCTCTTTATCTATCTATCTCTCTCTCTCTCTCTCTCACTCTCTCTACCTCTCTATCTCTCTACCTCTCTCTACCTCTCTCTACCTCTCTCTATCTCTCTTATCTCTTCTCCTTCTCTATCCTCTCTACCTCTCTCTACTCTCTCTCTCTCTCTCTTACCTCTCTCTACTCTCTTACCTCTCTCTACTCTTCTTCTTACCTCTCTTCTACTCCTCTCTCTCTCTCTCTCTACCTCTCTCTCTCTACTCTCTCTCTCTCTCCTCTCTCTCTCTTCTCTCTCTCTCTCTCTCTCTCTCCTATCTCTCTCTCTCTTCTATCTCTACTCTCTATCTCTCTATCTCTTCTCTCTCTCTCTCTCTCTCTCTCTCTATCTCTCTCTCTATCTCTCTCTTCCTATCTCTCTCTCTATCTCTCTCATCTCTCTCTCTATCTCTCTCTCTCTCTATCTCTCTCTCTCTATCTCTCTATCTCTCTCTATCTCTCTCTCTCTCTCTCTCTCTCTCTCTCTCTCTCTCTCTCTATCCTCTCTCTATCTCTCTATCTTCTCTCTCTTTATCTCTATCTCCTCTCTATCTCTACTCTCTCTCTCTATCTCTCATCTCTCTCTCTCTCTCTATCTCTCTCTCTCTCTTCTCTCATCTCTCTATCTCTCTCTATCTCTCTCATCTCTCTATCCTATCCTCTCTATCTCTCTATCTCTCTCATCTCTCTCATCTCTATCTCTCTCTCTATCTCTCTATCTCTCTATCTCTCTATCTCTCTCTCTATCTATCTCTATCTCTCTCTCACTACAAATATTTTAAGGTAAGTAATGAGTGAACTGTATATGCATTTTATAGCTCTGGGATGCTTAAATATCATAGAATAGTATGTGTGGGTGGGGTGGCCTGGTATGGTAGCCTGGCTGGATACCATACATACTGCACTTGATTTCTTACAATAAATACTACTTGTCTCCCCCTAGATTAACACTATAAATATTTTAAGGTAAGTAATGAGTGCACTAAGTGTGTATTGTACTTTTTATTGTTTTTTGATGCCTAATTTTATTGCTAACTTAATATATATTAGTGTAAACTTGTTATCTAGTATATTTGTATGCATTTATAAGGGAAAAAAAGGGTGTTCCACTTTATGGCGATTTCCGATTTACGGCGGTAGCCTGGAACCTAACCTGCCATATAAGTGGGGCCCTACTGTATAAGAAACACGTTACATAGTATACAGACATGCTGTTTACATGCTATGGAGGCATGGTTGCCAGGCGGAGGGGAAACATTACGTAATACTAATAATAATCACTCTTGGGCACATTAAATGTTTTATTTTATGTTAATATTGACATCTTCATTAATCCATCTATGATATTTTCTTCTAGATTATATAAGAAACATGTTACATAGCATATAAACATGCTATGTTTATATGCCGGATGGAGGGAAAACATTACTGTTTTCTTTGGTCCACCAAAGAAAACATGCATGAATCTGTGTTTGGCCTAGTCACTCCCCACTCTACTTTTGTTTACAATTCTTGGCATGAATTATTCATTACTTCTCCCTTCGTTTATGATGGCATCTAAAGGTAGTAGTTAGAAACGATTAAATTCAGTGAACAAGGTATGTCGATGGTAATAACGTGACTCTGGGCCGCATTAAATATTGTATAGCAATGTAGTCCAGGCTACCTACTGGCTACCTACACTGACTTCCTACAAATAAATATTACTCATCTCTCATCCTACATTAATTAAGACTACACATATTTTAAGGTAAATAATGAGTGTCAAGAGGCCCTCTCCTAAACTTGTTCTCAGGGTCAAAAAATTTTCATAAGAGTAAATCTTCTATTTTGTGTTGTTAAAAATTCAAAATAGAAAGCAGATGTAATATAGGAGAGGCCTGGGGATATGACTAATAAACAAAGGAAATGTTATAGTGCCAGGAGTGTCTACACTGTTTATTATGGATCCTATTTTTAAATTGGCATTTTTTTTTTTAACCGAGTGAAATTGGCCAAATTACCAAATTCTGATTACCTCTCACTGAAATAGTTGATTGGGTGGTTTGTTGTGTTCAATCAATAGAAAGGAAGGCTTACTAGCCAAATTCTTTAAGAATTTGGTTGACTGGAAAAACAGAATTAACCATTAGTGAAATCGGTGGTGCGTAAATTATGCCAACTAACTTTGCGCCTGCATAATTCAGCGAGTTTTCCATAAAATTTTGTATTTTCGGTATCATCACCTTCACAAAAAGATCTCTACCACCTTAGAAGTTTTTTTTTTTTTTTTTTTTTTTGGGGGGGGGGGGGGGGTTTAACATTGAGAGTGTGTTTCATTTCAGGAGTCAGGACAATGAAAGGGTTAAAAGGTATGATGATCTGACTGATTAAAAGGTACGTGTATGATCATTTTTTTTTTTATTTTAACACATCGGCTGTTTCCCACCAAGGCAGGGTGCCCCAAAAAAAGAAGAAACACTTTCATCGTCACTCACTCCTTCACTGTCTTGCAATAAGAGTGCTAACACTACAGTTCAAAAACTGGAAATGTTCTTTTGCTCACGCTCCAACAGCACGTCAAGTCATAAAAAACATTTGTCTCCACTTGCTTCTATCTAACACGCTCATGCATGCTTTCTGGAAGGCTAAGACCCTCACACACACAACTTCATTTACCCCCTCCCTCCAACCTTTCCCAGGACGACCCCTACACCGCCTTTCTTCCATTACAGATTTAAACACTCTCCAAGTCATTGTTTTGTTACATCCTCTCTAAATGTCCTCTGCCCTCTGAATAATACTTTTAGTAACCCCACACCTCCTTCTAATCTTCAAGCTATGGATTCTCTGCATATTATTCATACTGTACATTGCCCTCAGGCATGACATCTCCACTGCCTCCAGCCTTTTCCTTGTTGCAGCATTCACCACCCATGCTTCACACCCATATAAGAGTGTTGGTACCACTATACTCTCATAAATTCCCTTCCTTGTTTCCAATGATAACATTTTTTTGTCTCTACAGACTCCTCAGTGAACCACTCACCTTCCCCCCCCCTCCCCCCGGTCAATCCTATAGTTTACCTCGTCTTTCATAGACCCATCTGCTGACAAATCTACTCCCAAATATCTAAATACATTAATTTCCTCCACACTCCCTCCCTCCAACCTGATAACCATTCTTTCATGGCTTGATAATGTGACTGATTAATAGGTGTGATGTGATTCATTAATGTGATTCATTAACCTTCAAATTGTGAGATACCTGTGCCAGGGCGGGGAAGACTGAAAAAAAAACTTATAGAATAAAAGCATTTATTATTTTTCTGAATCAAATAAGACAAAAATGAGATTAACTGATATAAACTTATGATTTTATGGTGTGTTGAAGTTGGTGAAAAATTATTACTTCGGCAAAAGTGGCATAAATGTACCAGCAATGTTTAAGTTTTACAATTTATTGATGCCATGACATGATTGGTTTTCTTTTTCTTATGATAATTAGCTGTGTTTATAGGTGTTGCAGTACTTCAGACATGTTGAAATTCTTAGCCAAGCAGTGCTCCACTTGGAGTATACAGTATATATACTGTATAATTGCTTTTTTATATTTTTTTTTTTTTTTACAATTTTGAACTTCTAGGAATAATTTAATAATGTAATTGTTTCAGTGTAATACTCCTCAGAACTAGGTATATTTAACATTGCTTAAATATACTTAATGTGATTTATGGCTGAATTCCACTATTAGTATCATAAAACTGTTATAAATTTGGACTGAATAAGTCATCTTTGTCACTTGCACATGCTGTTTGTTGGTAGGGAAGCTACAGTGGTAGAAACACAAGACACTATTTTCATTGTTTACTTGTGCATACTAGTATGTTGGACACACAGTCATCACCTGTGTAAATTACAATGATATACTGTGTGCACCCTGCTGGCCTCAGATTTTATCAAATGTATGATTTCATTTAAGAAGACTCAAAGACATGTGCTGATGTAAAAAATATTGGCAGGTGGCAGATTTAAAGGTATGAAAAATTGAGCTTTCTAGTACATCGAGCACATTTTAAGGGTTAAAAGGTATTATGATGTGATTGATTAAAAAACTTCATACAGATACCAAATTTCTTTAACTTTCAAAAATAATGTGAGAGTTTAATTTGGTATTGTGCGCCTCCCTGAAAGCTTTCTGTAGTAACTTTTCTCTTCCACGCACTTGATTTGAGTAGCTTTGCGTGGCTTTACAACTCTGCTTGTTCTTGTGTCTTCGTAACTGGGACCAGCAAGTAGTGATACGATCCCAATACTCTTGTTCCTGTGTCCCAGATAACACTTCCATACGACTCCAGCACCCAGCTTTTTTGTATGCAGAAGCTGCATCCGCAGATATAAATCTAACATAGACATCTCTTTCTGTAGCACTCACATCCACGTATGCTACTCCACCACCGCCACCTTGACGTATAGTCTCACACAGCTTTTTAGGGTCTTGTGGTGGTTCCTCAAAGCTTATTTTTATTATTGCATTGGGAATGAATTGTGGCTTTGAATTCCGATTTTCATTAGATACAATGTCAACTGTTGTATTAAATTTCTGATCCTGATCACATTCATTAGGCAATTTAATAAAATTTGGATTACAATAGTCTGAATAATCGCTTTGTAAATTACGTCTGGCTTGCAACTGCCTCTTCAGAGATTTCATATTCTCTCGCTGCATGTTAAGATACTGATTCCTCAACATTTTCCAATCCTCTTTCGACATAACCCTTAAATAAATACTTTCCACTACTACTTCCTTTTCTTTCTTATTTCGCTTACGTTTCTTTTTCTTGTTCTTTTTGCTACTTACAGCTGACACACTTTCCATTATAGGGTTTTCTTCCTTTTCAGTACTGGTGATTAAAGATGTATCATCAACAGTAACATCTAACTTCCTTTTTCTGCTAGGCTGATCACTATCACAATCGCAATTGTTATCTTCCTCTTCATCCTCAATCTTCTTCCTCTTTTTACTAAATTCTACCCTCCTTCCTTCACCTACTTGCATATCCTTTTCATTTTCTACTTCTGCCTTCATTTCTAGATTTACATCCTCTTCACAGTCTTTAACTATGTTTTGCTTCTTGATACCACTGAAAGTGCCAGGTGAAGTCTGTTCATGTGTGCTTAGTTGATCTTCAACATTACCCTCATATGTTTTGATACTCTGCAACTGGGAAGGATCAATGGTTGTTGGAATTCTGCATTCTAAGGCCCCAAATGCTTCTAATGCAGAATTAGCCATTTCGGGGGTTTTAAACTCGACAAAAGCAAAACCTTTAGGCCTCCCTGAGCGGCGATAACGGGGAAGGGATACATAATCTATGGTACCATACTGTGCAAGCACTTGACGAATCCAATCATGATCACCATGAGACGGAATGTTCTCAATGTAAATTGTACATTCTATTTCATTATCCTTTCTTTCAATTTCATTTTTTCTCTTTACTTTAAGTCCATCGTCAGACAGCTTCAACAAAGTTGATTTACTTACAGCCTTCCTTAACAAATTTACATCATCTGTTAGAGCGCGAATTCGGTTAAACTTAAAAAATGTCTCAAGGTTAATGTACGGACCATCTTCTAACAGACTTAACATAAATGGGTCTTTAGTAATGTTGGCAGAACTGAAGTAGAAATCCATTTGTGCTGTTATCTGATGAATAAGATGCTTCTTGCGTTGTCTGGAGTCTTTCTGGGACTTCTTCTCTGCTGTAACCTTTTCTGAACTTGTGTCGCCTTCATCTGTCTTTGTGCAGTCCCCAGCAGTGTCTTCCATCTTAGCTGGTAGTCAATACTTTTTGCTAACTCTCTTCTTGCTTCTTCTACTGCAACTGTAGACAAGAAATAATGATGCTGTCAATATGCACTACCACTGTGCAACTTCTTGAAAGAAAATCTCAAATACAGTATTGTACAGAAAGTACATAAATATTTACTGCAATTTTAATTCTGCCTGATTTATATAAATTATCTGCCAGAATGGACAATTAACATGTCTGGCACTACTGCTTTAAGTATCTATAATGTTCTTGACACCAGAATCAGGAAATGTAAATGGTGACATCAATACTATCTAGTGTGTTAGGTAAGACACATATGCAACAGTTAGGTATCTTTATTTCAAAATAAAGATACCTAACTGTTGCATATGTGTCTTATCTAACAATCTGTCGGTATTTTATACCATTTTAATGTACTATCTAGTGTATTTACTAGAAAACAATCAGAAATTTTCAATATAAACTATGTGAACAACATTGGTCAATTATAGCTCAGATATGTTGCAAAGTATGTTTTGCAAAAGAAAATGAACATATAAATGGTCCACTAAATCACAGAAAGGTAAATCATGCTTTTTTTTTAAAGGTAATATGTCAAATAAACAAAATGGAACACATTTTTTTTTCAACATGCCGGCCATTTCCCACCAAGGCAGGGTGGCCCAAAAGAGAACACACACTTTCACCATCACTCACTCCATCATTGTTTACCAGACAATGATGGAGTTCAAAACAGAAAATATCTCCACCCCCCTCCCTCAGAGTGTAGGCAGTGTAAGTACTTCCCATCTCCAGGACCTCAAGTCTGGCTAGCTGGTTCCTTGAATCCTTTCGTAAACGTTACTTTCCTAACATTAAGAGCACATCAAGTCACAAAAACCACTTGTCTCCACTTACTCCTATTTAACCCTTTCAGGGTTTTCGACGTACTAAGTACGTCTTACATGCCAGGGTTGACGTACTAGTATGCATAAATTCTAGCGCCATCAAATCAAGCAGGAATAGGCTGGAATGCCTAGATGTGAAAGAATGGGTCTGCATGGTCAGTGTGCGCGGTAGGAAAAAAATTCGGCAACCCAGTGGTGCATTGTGGGAATGCCATTTTAGTACACCTTGTTCACCATGCCTCACGTTAAGAAACTCCTCACTCCTCGGCGAACTGGGACACTATTGTTCCCCAGTGACAGTTCTAATACAGATGGAAGTGTCAGTGAAGATGAGTTTCAAGGTTCTGATGAGGTTGTGACCAAAACTAATGACCATAATACTGGTAATAGAGAAGAAAATCCAGATGACCCTCAACCTTCCACCTCTGGTGCTGAGCTGTCTTGTTCACATTCAGTTGTACAAGAATGAAGAGGAAACTCGTATTTTCCCATATCCAGGACTCAGATGTGAGCAATGGTGATGATAGTGATAGCAAATATGAACTCCAAGCTCTTGAAAACAGTTCCAGTAGCAAGAGTGAAGTAGAATATTCTCCAGTGAAGCGTCAGTATATACGACGCTATATGCACTCTGGTAGTGTGCCATATGCTACTCCAAGGGGAAGGAGTACATCTCGGAGTACATCCCATGGCTGTACAACAGGAACAGATAGTGAAAATGAAGATGATAGTGTTCAATTGGGATGGAAAATGTGAATGCATCTGGTGGTGGTAGTGGTGGTGCCGGCCGTGAGGTACCAGTAGTGGGCCATGCTGCCACCCACGCCATTGACTCAGCTGAACTACAACAAAGGCCACCATCCCCTACACACCTACCACACCAACCTCCACAACCACAACCTCCACAACCACAACCTCCACAACCACAACCTCCACAACCACCTGTCAATATCCAGTACTCACTAGCAGACCGCACCTGGAATTGGCAGGAAGCTGATAATTTTGCTCCCAATCCCCATCACTTTGATGAAAGTCAAAGTGGAATATGGCCATCTTGTACACTTGGGAACAATGCCACTGAACTAGAATGTTTCAAGTTATTCTTTGACGAACCACTGATGGAAATCACTGTCAGGGAAAGCAACAGATACATACTTCGAGTACACCATGGCAAACAATACATTCACCAAAATCATGCCTACACCAGTGGAAGGAGACAACTGTGGATGAGATGTATCTTTTCTTTGCCACAATAATGCTTATGCCACATGTGTATAAGCACAGTGTCAAATCATACTGGTCAACAGATCCCCTGATTGCAACCCCAGGTTTCGGTGATATAATACGAGTGAATCAATTTGTGCTACTATTACATATGCTTCACTTCTCAGACAAAAACAGGCCTGACAGAAATGAATGGTTATATAAGATTAGGAATGTGTTTGTGTATCTGAAACAGAAATTCAGTATGTACTTTTATCCCTTCAGGAAGCTTGTTATTGACGAGTCTTTGATTCTGTTCAAAGGAAGACTGTCATTCAAGCAGTATATACCAAGCAAGAGGAAACGCCTTGGTATAAAGTTGTTTGTGCTTTGTGACTCCTACAGTGGTCTTGTATTGGATATTAATGTGTACACTGGAAGTAATATACAGTGGAACCTCTACTTACGAGTTTAATCGGTTCCATGACCTTGCTCGCAACTGGATTTGCTCGTTTGCAGAGTCAATTTTCCTCATTTAAATTAATTGAAATGGAATTAATTCGTTCCAGTGGATTTCCAGGCACGAGAAAATACTTTAATAATTTCCTAATATCATCTCTACAGCTTATTTATCTATCACAATTAATGTAATATGACATAATAAATAGAAACATGATATATACACTATATATGACATAATAAATATATGACACTATATATGACATAATAAATAGAAACATGATATATACACTAGAATGAATAAAATACATATCATTAGGTATGTGGCTAGGGTGGTAACAGTGGCCATTGTTGTTGTTGGGGATTATAGGGCCACTACAGTGGCCATTCCTGCTCCTGGCTACATGTGTAGAGAACCTAGGATAACCCAAAAAAGTCAGACAGAGTGACTTATAAGTGCTACACTCTTAATGCTTCACTTTATTGCTACACTCTTAATGCTGCACTTAATTGTTACACTCTTACTGCTACACTCTTAATGCTGCACTTAATTGTTACACTCTTACTGCTACACTCTTAATGCTGCACTTGTTACACTCTTACTGCTACACTCTTACTGCTACACTTAATTGCTACACTCTTAATGCTACACTGCCACTGCTGCTTCATGTTGTGTGCCACTGCTACCTCATGATGTCTGCCACTGCTGCTTCATGTTGTGTGCCACTGCTACCTCATGATGTCTGACACTGCTGCTTCATCTTGTCTGCCACTGCTGCCTCATGATGTCTGCCACTGCTGCTTCATGTTGTGTGCCACTGCTACCTCATGATGTCTGACACTGCTGCTTCATGTTGTGTGCCACTGCTACCTCATGATGTCTGCCACTGCTGCTTCATGTTGTGTGCCACTGCTACCTCATGATGTCTGACACTGCTGCTTCATCTTGTCTGCCACTGCTGCCTCATGATGTCTGCCACTGCTGCTTCATGTTGTGTGCCACTGCTACCTCATGATGTCTGACACTGCTGCTTCATCTTGTCTGCCACTGCTGCCTCATGATGTCTGCCACTGCTGCTTCATGTTGTGTGCCACTGCTACCTCATGATGTCTGACACTGCTGCTTCATCTTGTCTGCCACTGCTGCCTCATGATGTCTGACACTGCTGCTTCATCTTGTCTGCCACTGCTGCCTCATGATGTCTGACACTGCTGCTTCATCTTGTCTGCCACTGCTGCCTCATGATGTCTGCCACTTTTGCTTCATGTTGTCTGACACTGCTGCTTCATGTTGTCTGCCACTGCTACCTCATGATGTCTGCCACTTTTGCTTCATGTTGTCTGTCACTGCTGCTTCATGTTGTCTGCCACTGCTGCTTCATGTTGTCTGCCACTGCTGCTTCATGTTGTCTGCCACTGCTACCTCATGATGTCTGCCACTTTTGCTTCATGTTGTCTGTCACTGCTGCTTCATGTTGTCTGCCACTGCTACCTCATGTTGCCTACCACTGCTGCTTCATGTTGTCTGCCACTGCTACCTCATGATGTCTGCCACTTTTGCTTCATGTTGTCTGCCACTGCTGCTTCATGTTGTCTGCCACTGCTGCTTCATGTTGTCTGCCACTGCTGCTTCATGTTGTCTGCCACTGCTGCTTCATGTTGTCTGCCACTGCTGCTTCATGTTGTCTGCCACTGCTGCTTCATGTTGTCTGCCACTGCTGCTTCATGTTGTCTGCCACTGCTGCTTCATGTTGTCTGCCACTGCTACCTCATGATGTCTGCCACTGCTGCTTCACGTTGTCTGCTTCTGCTGCCTCGTATTGTCTGCCACTACCTCATGATGTCTGCCACTGCTGCTTCATGTTGTCTGCCACTGCTACTTCATGATGTCTGCCACTGTTGCTTCACGTTGTCTGCTTCTGCTGCTTCGTGTTGTCTGCCACTGCTACCTCACGATGTCTACCACTGATGTCGCCAAAGAATCGAATATTTCTGCTATTTTCAGCTCAATTTCAAGGTACTTTTCATCGTGATACCAATTAAAATCATATTTTTCTAGTATATCTTCCATTCTATCACATGAGAAAAAATAAAACGAGAATACAAACATAAAAACCATACAACAATATACCGCTAAAGGGAGGCTAATGGCTGAGAAGTGAACTCCGTTATTTATGGTCCGATTTCTTTCATTTTTGGTATACGTTAAGAAGCATCTTTTCATCATACATTGCCCAAGTTTCAGTAAGATAGTCCAACAAATAAATGAGATCTAATTCCCTAGATAAAGAGCAAGAGCCCCCTCACCAGTGTCAATTAACCTCCCTTGAGGCCCGCTCGCATCTGGAAATTTTGCTCGCATCTGGAAGCAAAAAATAGGCCAAGCAGATGCTCGTATTTGAAAAAACTCACACGTGGATGCACTCGTAAGTAGAGGTTCCACTGTATTGCAAATACCAGGAAGTTATTGGACATCTCTGGTGATGTGGTTAGAACAATGAT